GAGCCGCCCGAGCCCCCCGGGCCCGCGTCCCACGGCAGCCTGGGGGGCCGCAAGGCGTCCATCCTGGAGCCGCTGACCCGGCCCAGGCCCCGTGACCTGGCCTACTCGCCGCTGTCCCCGCAGTACCGCCACCTGAGCTACGCCTCCAGCCCCGAGTACACCTGCAGGGCCTCCCACAGCTTCTGGGAGCGCTTCCGCCTGAGCCGCCGGCGGCACAGGGACGAGGCGGAGTTCATGGCGGCCGGCCACGCGCTGCGCAGGAAGGTGCAGTTCGCCAAGGACGAGGACCTGCACGACATCCTGGACTACTGGAAGGGCGTGTCGGCCCAGCACAAGGCCTGAGCCGCCGGGCCTGGGCCAGAGGGGCGCCCGCGCCGCTCGTAACCCAGAGACTCGCGTGCCGCGCCCACCCGCCCACGCGCGTGCACACGCATGCACACGCACGGATGAGACGGCAGGCGAGACAGGCCCTACAGAGACGGGGGTGCAGACAGGGACAACAGCACACGGACCTGCCCCGGGACACGCTCAGGGTGGGAGCGGCCTGTCCACACACACGCACTGTCCGTGCACACGCACACAGGTACGCACTGCGTGAGCACATGCACACGCGCCTGCACACTGTGTATGCACACTGTACACACACACACATTGTACACACACACACGCACACTGTGTATACACACGCACACATTGTACACACACATGCACACTGTGCACACACACGCACACTGTGTACACACACATGCACACATTGTACACACACATGCACATTGTACACAATGCACACTGTACGCACGCGCACATTACACACACATGCACACTGCACACATGTGCACACTGTACACACATGCACACTACACACGTGCATACCACACACATGCACACAGTATATGCGTGCACACTGCATACACACATGCACATGGTACACACATGCACACTACACGCATGTGCACACTGTACACACATGTGCACCCTGTATATACGTGCACACTACACACATGCACACTGTACACACACATGCACACTGTACACACATGTGCACACTGTACACACACACACAAGGGACTTCGGAAAACTGTGTCTTAGGGATGGGGGGACTTTTTCCAGTATCTTTCCTGTTTCGAGTCCTCCTGCCTTTTCCTCTCTTTTTTCTTTCTTTTTTTTTTTTTTTTAAACAATAGAAGTAAAGTTCTCTTAAAAAGACAAAACACCAGACGAGGGGAGCATGGCCCCCGGCTCCTCGCATGATCTCTGTCCACGGTCTTCTGTGGACTCTGTCTGGTCGTCTCTCTGTTGCCACCTCTGGGTGCCACCAAAGAGGGGAGAGTGCCTGCAGGTGGCCGAGCGGCCTCGGGGTGTCCGGAGCCNACGCGTGCACACGCGTGCACACGCACGGATGAGACGGCAGGCGAAACGGGCCCTACAGAGATGGGGGTGCAGACGGGGACAACAGCACACGGACCTGCCCCGGGACGCGCTCAGGGTGGGAGCGGCCTGTCCACACACACGCACTGTCCGTGCACACGCACACAGGTACGCACTGCGTGAGCACATGCACACGCGCCTGCACACTGTGTATGCACACTGTACACACACACACATTGTACACACACACACGCACACTGTGTACACACACGCACACATTGTACACACACATGCACACTGTGCACACACATGCACACTGTACACAAACGCACATTACACGCACATGCACACTGCACAGACATGTGCACACTGTACACACATGCACACTACACACGTGCACATAACACGTGTGCACACTGTACACAGTGCACATGGTACACACATGCACACTACACATGTGCACACTGTACACACGTGCACACTGTATATACGTGCACACTACACACACGCACGCACTACACACACGCACACTGTACACATGTGCACACTGTACACACGTGCACACTGTACACACATGTGCACAATATACACACATGTGCACACTGTACACACACACACAAGGGACTTCGGAAAACTGTGTCTTAGGGATGGGGGGACTTTTTCCAGTATCTTTCCTGTTTCGAGTCCTCCTGCCTTTTCCTCTCTTTTTTTCTTTTTTTTTTTTTAAACAATAGAAGTAAAGTTCTCTTAAAAAGACAAAACACCAGACAAGGGGAGCATGGCCCCCGGCTCCTCGCATGATCTCTGTCCACGGTCTTCTGTGGACTCTGTCTGGTCGTCTCTCTGTTGCCACCTCTGGGCGCCACCAAAGAGGGGAGAGTGCCTGCAGGTGGCCGAGCGGCCTCGGGGTGTCCGGAGCCCTGGGGACTCAGGGGAGGGGGTGCCCGTGGACGCGGGGGTGTGGGAAGGGGCGCGGCGGGGCGTCCTCCGCCCACCCCCACTCTCTGTTGTGTCCTAATGTACAGGAGAAATATTTCTATATTTGCAATGTTTGCTGTAAAATGAGAAAGAGAGACTATGTCTACTAAAAAAATTCTGCAAAGGAAAAAACCAAATACTTGTTTGTACGGGGTTTTTACTATGGGATTTAGGGAAAGACTTGGGGTTTCTTTTGTGTCTGGTTGATGTGGGCCCTGGAGGGGGGCTCAGGGTTCCAGGCGGTCACCACTGAGCTCTTGTCCCGAGAACAGGAGTGACCCCGGATGACCCTGGGGGTGCACAAGAGCCTGTGGGCAGCTGACTGGGGCTGGAGACTGTCCAGCAGCTTTGAGATCCAGAGGCGGTGGGGATGGGCAGGAAGGGGCTGGGGGTGTGGGGTGTGCAGGGTGAGTGTGAGGGGCCTGGGGTCCCTCCCGTGGCCACGTGTGTCTGACTGTGACCAGGTGCACAGGGCTGGGAGCTGAGAGGGTGCGTGGGCCTGTGGGCAGCCGGAGGAGACAGGGTGTAGGTGGTGTGGGTTGTGTGTGAGGAGTGGGTGAGCGTGAGAGGCATGGTGGGGGCTTTGGGGTGGGGGTGGCCCCTGTGATGTCTGAAGCCCCACCTCCCGGGAAGGTGCCCTGAGATCCCCACCCCACAGGCCCCACCCCTGCCCAGCGTGGTGTGGCCCAAATTCAGGGAGCCATCGGTTGGAGGCACCTCCAAACAGGACTGATGGCCCAGGCTCTCCAGAGAGGACCAGTCCCCACGCCAGCCCAGATGAAGTCCCCCTCTGTGGCTCCTGTGCTTTGGCCACCAAAGCCACAGGGTCCCCTCGTCCCACCAGGAGCCAGAGCAAGGCTTTGAGGACACANCCCAGGCTCTCCAGAGAGGACCAGTCCCCACGCCAGCCCAGATGAAGTCCCCCTCTGTGGCTCCTGTGCTTTGGCCACCAAAGCCACAGGGTCCCCTCGTCCCACCAGGAGCCAGAGCAAGGCTTTGAGGACACATCATTTCTGAGTCCTACTCCCACCTCCAGCCCCAGGTTCTACAGTCACCTCCTGGGGGGTGGAGAGCCCAGGGCTGCCCTCCTGAGGTGCCAAACCTGCCAACCACCCTTTCTGCCTGGCTGGTGGCCCCTCCCTGTCCTTCCCAAGGGCCCCACCTGCCCCTCCATCCAGGGCAAACCCCTTCCCCAACTAGGGCTCTGTTTCCGAAAAAGACCCAGCGAGGGGTGAACAGGGCTGGAGCTGGTCCTGGGAGCCACAGGAGCCTGAGAGACACGAGCAGGGACAGTGGTAGGTTCTCAGGACCTGCTGGGTCACCAGGGAAGGACTGGGCTTCCACTGGCTCAGCAGAGGGTAGGTGGGGCTAGAAGCAGTGTGGAGATCGGCCGCCCCTCCTTGCACTCCCCTGGTGACAGGATGCTCAGCCCCTTCCTCAGCAGCTGTTTGCAGCCTTATGCATGTTTCTGAGGCCGACAGGAAACAGCAGTTCCCCACAGGGCCCAGCTCTGACTGCCCAGCCAGTGGCTGTGCCATGCTGTGGATGGGGCCAATCTACCTGCCCCAGGCTGGCCTGCCCAGTCCACCCCATTCAGGCCTGCGTATGAGCCTTCATACAGGGCACATAACCTGGGGGGCTCTCACTGGCCCCTGTGATGGAGCCCCTCGGAACAGGTGATTTCCGTGGACACCACATGCCCTGCCTGTCCCTGCTTGACCTGACAGGCAGGCCCCCAGGTCCAGTCAGCCCCCCACCCTCACCCTGGGGTCCCAGAGGACGGCGCCAGGGAGTCCGACACGTGAGGGTGTCAGACGGTGAGGGTGTGCCCAGGACAGCAGGTGCAGGGAGAGGAGTCAGGGCCCTGGGCTGGTGGGTGGAGGCTCAGGGAGGGCCCTGCCTCACCCAAGGTCACACAGTGACATGGCCACAGTCCTGGCCAGGCTACCTCAGCCTGCTGGTCCCTGTCACTGAGGAGACAGAATTGGCTATTTATGGGGAATGGGGAACCACGGTGTGGAATAGAGGTAGGTGGGCAACTGGCCAGATAGGCCAGGTGTGTGAGGGACACGTCACCACCAAGAGCCCTGCCATCAAGCAGGAGCTCGAGGGGACAGGCAGGGACCTAGAGAGGGACACAGAGAGTTTGGGGCCTTGAGTGGCCAAGAATGCCCCTTCCAGAGGCCCAGCCCTCGCTGGACACCAGGGTGGGACAGAGGTGGCACTAACTGCCAACACCAGGCCAGTCCTGGGGACACAAATGCATGTATCACCATGTCCTTGCTTGAAGGAATTCATGGTGGGCTTAAAGAGTAGACACATACAGGAGAAGCTGTACACACATTAGATGCCTGCTGTGTGCACGGCTCTGTGCGGACCACTCTACGGGCCTGGAGAGGGACCTGCCCTGCCCCGGCCTTGAGGAGCTCCCCGGCCAGCAGGCACCAGATGCAGAGGCAGGTGACTCAGCTCAGGGTGGCGGGGCACTGGGGGCACTGGGGGCCTGGGGAGGGGTGGGAACTCCTGCCTGGGAAGAGCCTGGAAGGCTTCCTGGGAGTGGCGGTGTTTGGCCTGAAAGGGGAACCTACAGTGAGGAAGGAGGGGTGGGGGCTATGAAGTGAAGAGGTCAGCATCCCTGTGGGCTTGGTGCTGAGCTCTGAGTGCAGGAGGGAGGGTGCCCACCCGATGAGCCCCACCCTATGGCTGCAGGTCTGTCCAATGGGCGGGAGGCCAGAGCAGGGCTCACACAAGGCTCTGCCACTGACCTCCTGGCCATCGCAAGTCACCGACCTCTATCCCTCCCCCCTGCAGTGGGCCACTGAGAGGGTCTGATGGCCTGTGGGGCTGAGGCTGCATGTGTCACAGTGGCCGTGTGTCAGTCATCTATTGGCCTGGTGATGCTGCATGACAACCAACCCTAACACGTTGCTCACGTGCCAGGCTGCCCAGCGGTGGCTGTGGGGACGGGGGCCCTGGCAGGACTGAGCTCTGCTCTGACCATCTCTCTTGTCCTCCAGCAAAGCAGCCCATGGCTGAGAGCAGGCCCCGGGGTCGTGTCCCAGAGCAGCTCATGTGGCTGAGCTCAGTCAAGGGGGGATGGTTACCCATCCACAGTGGCGAAGGGCATGGACATGGGAGGGGTGAAGAGTCAGCACTATCTGACATCAGAGGCCAAGTGCATGGCCAAGCCTTACGTGCTTTCTCCACCGGGTGACCACAGAGCAGACAGCAGGACCCCCAATGGATGTTCCTGAGGTTTCATCCA